GAACTAAAGCATATTATGTCATTTCTTGCAATTATAACAACACTGTAACACGATTATCTAATGAAATTCTATTACTTTTTGACTTCATAGTATATATAATTATTGCACGCGCTTTAGAGGAAAACTCATTTAAAACGGGGAAATCTACTTGTCACGTTGATCGTGCGAGAAATACAGGCTTCTGTTTATCTCTCTCTCTCTCTCCCTCTCTCTCTCTTTGAGTAAATGTCTTCTGCGTATACATAGGTGCACATTATTTGTATATATATATATACTATATGTATATATCTGTACTAGTCAATAAAGTACTGCGGATCAACCGATTAACTTGACACACACGCACATGGAATGTAATTCACTTGTAGAAAGTAAAACAAAGCACAAACTGGGCTTAAATTTAGAATGAAAATCAACGCAATGGGTTTATATAGAAAGACCGACAGGATTTACTTTCAATAGTTTGCGTACGCGGCTCTTTGTTAAACATTTTATTAATTGAAACAGATAAAAGTACCTTTTGATACGATTAATTAAATATTAAAAATTCTTTCAAAGAAAAATGGCAAATATTTTGAATTTATAAAACTTGTGAAATAATTGCAGGGGAATACTCGACTGTAATTATTTTACAGTCTAGTATTTAAATCCCCTAGGCACTGAAAAAAAATTTATTTGATTCAAATAACCGATTACTTGTCTTTTATCAATTATCGAATAAATATTTACTTGAAACAAATAATTTTTGAATCAAATAAATTGTAGTTGAAACAATAATTTCAGTATTTGAGGCAAATACCAATTGACTCAAGGATTATTTAATTCAGAAAATATTTATTTAATAATCGGTTATTTGAATCAAATCAAAAAAAAATTTTTTAATTTTTTTTAGTCGATCTCCATATGTATGAAAATTTGAAAAAAGAATTGAAAACTAACGTGGAACTTTTCTCTAATTTATAAAATTAGCAAAACATTTCTTGCATTGTATTAAAAATTTTTATAAAATAATTACAGTGGATTAAATACTCGACTATAAAATAATTATAATGGATTAAAATTATAGTCGAGTATTTAATCCACTGTAGTTATTTTATAGTCGAGTATATTTAATCCACTGTAATTATTTTATAAAAATTTGTAATACAAAGGAAGAAATTTTTTTGCTAATTTTAATAAATTAGAAAAAAATTTCACGTTAGTTTTCAATTCCTTCGCCGAATTTTCATACATATGGAGATCGAGAATATAAGCCTTGGAGTGTATGGACTAATATGTCACGCACGAATTTTTATATATATACAATAATGCGGTGAATGTCTTCTAATTATCGATAATTATATCCATATGATATACTGATTAGGGAGGCAGAAATGATCGTTGTTAGGGACAACACCTCTCTCATCAGAATATAACAACTGACAATGATTTACTTGTCAACGGAAATGATACGGTATTATATAGTTTGCACATATAGAGACTATCTCTCTGCTGGTTCATTGCAGTTCATGCATGCATGCATGCCTGGAAAGTTGAACATTGCCATCGGGAATTGTCAGTACACCCACGCAAATTTTCGCACACTCTTGTTTGTTAGGTGAACTTACGTGGTCAATGATGTCCACTCTCTCGACCATCTTCCTCTGATAGTAAAAGTGAAGCTGCAATACATATCCGATATATAGTTGTAGAACGCCCACGGAGAGTCTGTTGAAATTGTATTTACGCATTCAGTTGGGGTCAAAAACACTGAAAAACATAGTAAACTAATTACTAAACAAAATAAACAAATAGAAAATGAAAGTAAAATATATACCTACTTGCTTTTTTTATTTTTAATCTATTAGGGAAAAAAATATTGTTAGGAATGTAAATAATTTATGTAAGTAATTAACAAATTAAGAAAATAAATAAAAAAAAATTAAGCAATAACAGGGTGTCTACTAACCGGGAAAACCGGGAATTTAATTTGACCGGGAAAAACCGGAAATAAGCCAGAAATTTTATGCCAAACTGGGAATTTTTTCACCAAATTAAAAACAGTTTTATTATTTTAATTTGTTTTTAAAAAATTGCTTTGCATTTCAATTACAATTTAAATCGAATTCCTCGAAAAATGTAATTATTCTTAAAATTTCTAGAAACTGTAAAAAAATTCTTCTTAAGAATTCAATTACAGTCGTGTCTCGTAATTGAAAGATGCGGAATTCACAATTATTTAAAAAAATTTTAATAAAATTCTACACAAACATTTAATTATTCTCATAAATATGTAATAACATTCTTTGGAAGGATTCAATTACTTTTATAAACAGTAAAATTCTTTGCAGAAATTCAATTAGTATCAATACATTTTAATAAAATTGAATTAATCAAATTTTCAATTATAATTATGAACAGACAAGATTATTTTAAAAAATTGAAAAAATTCTTTGTTTAATTCAATTATTTTCGAAATTTTTAATTAAAATTATTTTAAAAAAACAGTATTTTCAAAAAATTTAAAGAAACTCGTCAAAAGAATTTAATTATTCATAAAAACTCTATAATAAAAATTAGGACAAAGCCGGGAATTTTGTTGAACGAAAACAGTAGACATCCTGAATAATTTGTTGTTTTAAATAAAAACATTTTTAAAAAATACAAAAAGTTTTAAAAACATAAAATACTTGTTACATATTTATTTTTCCACAAGAATTTAAATTTTTTAAATTTCAATTTCAAATATTCTGATATTTAAATATATTGTTTCTAAAATTCTGAATGTTTAAATGAACGACATTTATTAATTTCTCTAATTCAGATTCACATTTAATTACAATAATAAACCAACTTTTGGATCATAATTTATTTATTTATAAAAATTAACAATGCAAAACTTCTAAAATATTATTATTTTCAAGAATTTTTAACTCAACTTCTCCTATAAAACAATTTTTTAAAAATAATTTCCACAAGTTTTTAGAAAATTGAAATTATTTAAATAAAAAATTTCAATTTATGCTAATATTTGTGACTGCAACGCTTTATGATTTCCTTTTAAAGTTATTAAGGTGAATTATTGAAAATACATAAAAAAATATATTAAAAATAATTAATTTTCAAAAATTATTCTTAAAATTAGTTTTTAGAAACATGTTTTAAATAATAATTAAATGATAATAAATTTTTCAATTATGCATAATTATTAAAAAATTTCCAAATAATTTTTTAGAAGAATTTTTGGAAATTATTGAAAAAAATAATAAATTTTTTGAACAATTTTAATTTAAAATTTTTAAAATAATTGTTTGCTTTAAAATTTTAATAAAAATTCTATAAAAAATGTGATTTGAATAAAAATTTAAAAAGTATAAAAATAAAATTAAAAAATGTACATAATTATAATAATTCCTTTCTCAGAATAATTTCTTAATATCCTCTTTTGAAGTTAATTTTCTTTTTAATTTTTAAATAAAATATTTGAGAGTCTGCTTAAGAATTTTTCAAAAATGAAATTAATATTTATATATACAAAAATAAATAATTGATTAGATATTTATTAAAATTAAATTGCTCTAAATTTTTTGAAATTAATTAAATTCCAGTGAAGAATTCTAGTAACATTTTTTTTGAAAAATTTGTTATTAAAAATTTTTAAATAATTAGATTCTTTAGAGGAATTTTTCAATTGAATAAAAAATATATGAATTTTTATAAACAAATTTTATCATAAAACATTAAAAGTAATTGATTTCTTTCGGATAATTTTAAACAAATTTTTTAAAATAATTAATTTCTTTCAAGAAATATGTTAATTTTATTTCAAATAATTGAATTTTTGAGAAGAATTTTATTAAAATTTTTTTTAAATAATATTAAATTCTTTAGTGAAATTTTTCTAAAACTGTAGATATTGAAAATAGTTGTTAATTATTGTTAAATTTGGTTATTTTGTTATTTAGTTTTTTGTTTGCTATATAAAAATTGAAGTAATTTGCATTTTTATACTAAAAAAGAGTAATTTTGTTGCAATATTTGTAAGACAAATAAAAAATTCAAAAAGTTGAACTATCCAAGGACTTTTATTATTGTTTATAATTGTATTATTGCTTTTTTCAAAACTGACAAACTTCTTTCAAAACTATTTACACGCAAGTTTATTAACTGCAAACTTGCAAGAATAATTTGCTGCAAATGATATTTTTTTACCGGAAATTTACATTGTACACATGCAAAAGTGGAAACATTTTTGTACAATTAAATAAGTTTGCAGCAAATTTGCTTGCAAATGTGCTCTATGTGGATTTATTGAATTTTTTATTGTTCTCTATGTTCTCTACGACAAAAACCGGTATTCTCAATTTTGAGGTTATGTTGGGGAGGTCAAAGAAACTACAATGTAAAATAATGTAAAAATACTAAATTATACCTTTTGAAATACGTGCGTCTGTTTTTGTAAACAATCTGTTCTTCTTTATTAGTCTTTTTCTCCATATTCCTTGGAATTAAAAGCAAAAATATGAAAAATACTATTTGGCAAGTTGGCGCGGTTTTTTCGCTGGATGGAGTCGCACACTGAATCAGCCACTTGCCACATTTTGTCGTCATTATTCGATTCTTTAAACCAATCGATTTACAATTTAGCTTGAAAAATATAAAGCCAGTCGAAAATCATTATTTTCGTTTATTCTCATCTATAGATTTCCATTTGTAATGATTTATTGTTAATCTTGTCTTGTTAATTAAAGAAACTGCTTTTTACCTTTGAAATCCTGTTTAGACTTGTTGCGATATCGTGAAACACTAGCAATCCTAGCGTGAAAATGTTGAAACACTGCAGCAGAAGGTACAGAGAGAGCTACTTTACCAACAACTGTTCTTTCTTCACATACCGACTGCACATTTTCGAGAACTACCATAACATCAGAGGAAAAGTTTTTTGAATTCAAAGTTGATACATTCACCGCATCAGAATTTTAAACGCGCAACAGATAATATTCAAGACAGATTCTGAATTCAATTTCAGTTTTCTCATCAGTCGAATGAGAAACGCTGTTGCGTGAGCGTGAAGTGGCTTGACTAGTTTTCAATCGTGTGCATATTTCTCTCAAGTTTTAACAGTGTGCGTGGCTTTTAAATTTAAAAACAAGTTCTGTCAGTCAGTGCACACACAGTTTGGGATTACATTGCAGTTTCACAAGGAAAAGTGGAAAAAAATGTGAGTTAATTTTGTGAATTTTCCAATAAAAATGTGCGAGATGAAAAACAAAAGAAAATTCTTTTCTTTCTATAACAATAAAGAGTTGAAAATCCGTTTTCTATATAAGCAATGCGCAATAAATTTCACGACTTTTTTTTCTGTATCTTATTATTAAATTCTTTATGTTTACAAATTCGAAAAGAGAACATAACCAAGAATTTTGTTTATTGTTATACTAAAGTGTAATGTAAAAGTGTAATTTTGCAATAGGTTTTTATGATAAATTCCTATAAAGATAGAAGATTGGTAGTAAAAACCTGATTGGACGATGGTATCGAAAGGCAAACAAAAAGGACAAAAGAATAAAAAGTATACAAAAGTGCGCGGTTTTTTTTTCTTGTGTCATCGACACATCACGACAATGTATATATTGAAGTGAATAGCCAGTTCACCCTTTGTGAAAGGAAGTACCAAATTATACAATGTATGATATACTTTGAATGCGTCCATGGCCCCAATTTTAATTTGACAGGTTGCACTGAAAATATTCACATATTGTTGAAAAATAAATTCTCCCCTCCGAAAAGTCAGTGAAATTTTTATGAGGTAACGGTAAATTATAATACTATCTTCAGGAATTTGAAAAAGATACGTGCCCTACTTTTTAATGTAGAGTAAAAAAAATAATAAACAAACGTTTATTTACATTATTATGATCATATTTAATATTATTATTAACGTTAAATTAAATATTGGTAATAACAATAACAAACAAATATTAAATTAAATAATAAATTCATTAAATTATATGTAAATGAATTAAATATTTAAATTAAATCCATATGAAATTAATAATTTCAATTGTACATTTAATGTAAAAATTATTTAATTTAGATCCTAATTATTTTATAGTAAAATATTTTCTATTTTTGAATATAATTTCAGTTATTTATTTCTTATTTTCTTTTTCTTATTTATTTTTATTATTTAATACTAGAAAATATATCGTTTAGTGTAGAGAGATAAAAAGTAGTGAATTAAATAATTAGTTAAACATTAAGTCATTCATAAGTAGTTGATATATTAATTTGGTTGATAAATTGTTTAAATAACTGTGTAGAGCTAATAAATTAATTACTCTGGTAAATTCTGTTAATTACCTAATGAATTAAATTAAATGTTTCATTTATGAAATACGGGACTAAAAATAAATTGAAATAACCTTTTAAATACATGCCTTCTTTTGGCAAAAAAAAAAATCTTTCGGTGCTTTTGTTCTTTTTATTAATTAGTGTGTCTAATGACCATTCTGCAATTTATCATGGAAAGAATTAATTTGTATATGCCCATATATAAATACGTAAGACACCAATTTTAGTTTTCTGAAATGACCCACAATTCTGTTCACTGATTCGTTGAGAGTGGAAAGTGTATACGTACATACATGTGTCCGAGTAAATAAAGTCAGAAATGCTTCATATATAAGGACGTTACGTCATCATTGTTTTATTTTAATTATTGCAATTCTTATGTGGTATAACATTATACTTTTTCCTTTCTTCTGATTTTTCGTGTGCATATAAAAACGATTTGAATTTTTTTTCCGCTGGAGAGAAAATATTATTTTAATTCTGATTTAGTTTAAAATATAATTATTATGTAAGAATAAGTGTTTTTTCTGTATAATATTTAATATAATATATCAGAATAATATAAAATTAATGATTGCAGTAGCAGAGAAAAAAAATGAGAAATTATTTTCAAAAAATGTAGTTTTCATCTCTTTTTCGAAAAAAAATTGTCCAAAACTGTGAAATAGTCTTTTTTTCAGACTTCAAAGCTAAAAAATTTAATGAAGACCACTTTCAAAATAACTAGTAATGAATTATTTATTTAGTGAAACAAAATAGGAAAAAAATATTTAGATTTATTTTTTGGAGTTTTAAAGTTGACCCATGGTCTGTAAATAGTATTTGAATCCGATTGATTAATGTTATTTTTATTGGTTGATGAAAGAAACTCAATATCACTGAATATTTGAAAATCTGATGACTTATTTTAATACTGACCCGTATATTTTTCTTAAATGAATATTTTCAGTAATATGTGGGTGTTATATTAGATTTTCTCAAGGCACTATATTTATACAAAAATTAATATTATTAAAAATTATAATAGAAAATTTAAAATAATTATTTGATGTTATTAATATACAAAACACTAATTTATAAATAATTTCCTAGTTTTTCGACAAAGAAATCAAGAGATTTGTATGTTCTGTTCTATTTCATATAATTACTGTCGTATGAAAATTGAAAATTGTAACGATTGTTAATTATTTTTTAATTTTCATAAGAGTGTTAAAGTATTACCAGAAAAAATTTAAGAACTTTAAGATGATTACTATTTATAATATATTATAATTATATCATATTATAATATATTATTTTATATTATATTATCCATGCTATATATTACCTTCATGAATAAGAAATAGCATTGCAATCGTGAAATAAAAAGAATAATAATTTTATACACAAATTCTTATTGTTTGAGAAAATGATAAGAAGTGTAGCATTTCTGAACGAACTGCTCTTAAAAAATGTCATTATTAGTGAAAGATAAGAGAAGTGGAGACGTCATCAGAAAACGATTATATTTTTTACATTTCTTTCTATACTCGGATATTCCCTCCGGAATAATATCAATTTTTTTTTCTTTTGAAATCATTAATGGTTTTTATGGAATTTTCTTCTTTCGAATATTGAAATCTTTCAGAAAGTGTCAATCAAAATAGATTGCATAGATCGATAACAATTTATAATTCCTCCTCACACACAGGAAATGATTCATTTTTAGTTTTACATCTTATTTCTTCATTGACTTTTTGCAATGTACGCGCGCCTTAGTCATATATTCAATTACAGATTTTCTTTGCACTGTACTTGCTTACAAAAAAAAAAAAAAAAATGAAAATAATATTCACTACGATAAACTAAGAATAAATATTGCTATTATAAATTAATAACACTATATATAAATCGTTAAAAAATGATAAAAGGGGAAATAAAAATTACTTCCTCATTGAGGAAGCAAATGAGAGAAATACAGCCGGAAAAAATTAACAAATTAACAGAAATTAATTATTTTTTTTTTTGTTAAAAATAAAACTTATTTTTTGTTTGCGATGTTTTTTGAAACTATATTTATGGTAAGAGCGTAAATATATTTGGTCTTAATACGAGGTTTCGTATTTCTTTTTTAGGAAATTTGGAAGGAATTTTATTTTCTTTTGTTTTTTTTTGCACACGGTCACTGTTATGATTACTGTTATATACCGTTGTGCCAGACCTTTTAACCGTGACCTAGACTGTCTATAGAAACCGGAATAAACCGATGAGAAATAACAATAATGTGACCATATTTTTCAAGAACCTCCCACGCCATTTATAAGCGACAATTGTCATTTGAAAAAATTTGACGTAATTAAAATAATCTACATATTCGTCAAACGATTTCTTTTGCAAAGAACTTTCAATTTTATATTAAATCTTTATTTAATCTTATTAAATAAAATAAATGTACTGAAAAAAAAATTTATTTGATTGAAATAACCGATTAATTGACTAGTATTAATTAAATATTCAATAAGTGAATCAAATAATATTTATAGGATTGCAATTAAATGGTTTAATTCATATTTGCTTCAAATACTGAAATTTTTGGTTCAAATACCATTTAATTGACTCCAAAAAATATTATTTGTTTTTCAACCTAAAGTTTCGAACTTTCAAATGATATTTTTATTACTTCTTTCAATTTGAATTTTATTGAAGGTAAATAGAGGTAAATAGAGAAAATATAGTAAATGAAATAAATTAAATCAATTAAATAAATGAAATTAAATAATATTAATAAAACAAATGAAGTAATGGAAAAAAAATTGAAAATTAGTACACAGTTTTCTTGAAAGTATCAAATTGATACTAAAGTGGATCAAATTGATGCCAAAAATTTGGATTAACTTTTAATTTGATTAGCATTTTTGGAATCATTTCGTTGCAATTTGATACTTTTAAGTTAACAGTGTAAATTTTTAATGTGAGTCAAGTTTTAATTTTAAGCTGAAAGATAGTCTCATTTTTAAAAAGTTTATCTTAGATATACTAAACATATCTCATTTATTTTGAAACGTTTTTATTGCCTTTTTGATAATTTATCTTCCTCTTTGAGATTTTTATTGAGTTTAAGAGTCTAAGTAATTAAAACGGCTTAAAATAAGACTCATTTACATGTTTAGAAAGGCTAACGTCTTTCTAAACAAATAAATGCGTCTTATTTTAAGCCGTAAATCTTAGTAATAAAAATATTAATAAATCTTAATAAATATTAATTCGCGTTAGTAAATTTTAGTTAGCTTTAATAAATTTTAGTTAGCGTTAGTAAATTTTATAGTTTAAAGTTAGTAGATATTAATATTTATAACGTTGGTAATTTTTAGTTAGTGATAGAAAATCTTATTTCGCGTTAGTAAAAGTTAACGTTAATAAATTTTAGTTTTAGCGTTAGTGAATCTTAATTAGAGTTTAGTAAATCATAGTTTTACGTTGTAAAATTTTAGTTAGCGTTAGTAAATTTATAGTTAGAGTTAGTAAATCTTAGTTAACGTTAGAAAAATAGAAAATATTGTTTGCTTTAATTAATTTAATATTTTTTTAATAGCTTCATTATTTTTATTTTCTCATTAAAAAAATTGTAATTAATTCTTTGAAATTGACAAACACAGAAAAAACAAAGTCTGAAACCGTTTACATCTTAAAACCAAAATGATTGAAAAACAGCCTATTTTTAAGCTGAAAACTAGATTAAGTAAATTTTATGACTTAAAATAATACTCTTAAGGCTAAAAATTAGTTAAAAATGTTTCTAATGTAAACGGTTTTAGTCAAAAAGAGACTGAAAGTAAGATTTATTTTTTACAGTGAAACGATCATTAATATTCTACAAGACAAATTTTT